TTTCCTACCTAAGCTGAGAGCCTTGAGAGGCTATGTCAGCGTAACCCTAACGTTTGTAGGTGAGCTCACGGGGCTCAAACCTGATGACGTTGCTAACACGAACCCTAGCAAGAGCCGTGCTTCGCAGAATCTACCACCGGATCGGAAACGCGACCCACTGAGAAGATCCGGCGAGAAACTCAGTGGGCTGTGTCTGGGAGTTAATTTACTCGTCGAGCCCTTCGTCGCAAGCGACGGGTTTGACGAGAACGGTGACCGGTGCTTGAAGTACCTAAAAGCACCGTTAGTGGATCAGGAGGATCCGAGATGACGTGTTTTGGGCGACGTCGACTGCTTTCCATTCTGTCCGCAGGATCGGGAATGTAGTTACCGGCGGCCACGATGAGAGGGTTCTCGTGTCGTGCCGCTTTATCGAAGTGGCGCACCAAACAAAGCCTATGTAAGGCTTAAATAAAATAATTAATGAGCAAAAATTTTATTTCATTCGAAAAACAAAAATAACAACGCAACAAAACAATTTAACATATTATTATCACGAAACTAAATGGTGAAGAACCTTTAGATGGCATCAGAATTAGTCCTTTAAGTAAAGAAAACATACGCGTTATGGCAGTGAAAATAAATATAAAATAATCAAGGCTATCTGGCATAGGTCCGAGACTGCCTATCAACAACACTTGACAGCCAGGCACTCACTATTAATAAAACAATCTAAAAAGTAGTCGAAAGGGAACTTAATTCAATTAAATCAATCATTCATGATGTTTGTGACATGTTAATGAATTAAATCACTAGGTATTTAAAAACTAATAATTGATGCATTTTTTTCTCGTTAAGCGGAACATCAATCACAACACATGATGTCATATATATAGTTAATCGTTGTGTATTAGTGAATGATTTGTGGTCAGGTAATTGCTTATTTTGGGCCTAAATGACGTCGTAAGTCGTCACATTCAGCCGAACTATGTAAAATGTGGCATTTTTGAAAATTAAGCTGATCAGTCCCATTCGGAGTTACGAATTTAGTACTTATTTCATATTTCTTAAGTTTCATAATTATAATATCACTCGCCGTAGTTGTTTTGGTTTTAATTCTAGAACATTCCAATTTAAATATACTGCATTGTAATCTATGTATAATTAAGCAAAGATACAACAGCTAAGTACCGTTTTCTTCTGCATCCGTCAATCGATTTTCATTTTCTTTGTTAAGTAGCTATTGACCAGCCTTACTATTAAAAACCCTTTCTTTACTTCCTAAACTTATGATCAATAATAATTTTGGACATACCCAACTTTTCTTCTTAAAATTTCAATAACATTCAAAATGAAAGTTCTTCAAACTTCAATGAAGTAACGTAATATTAAATAAACGACAGATATACTGAAATCTCTGATTATGCCTAAATAGTTTTGACCAAGTGACAAGTTGTCTCTTAAAACATGATTCGATCTTTGTGTCTTCGTCTACATATTGTTCTTTACGATATTACGCGTAGTTGTTAGATTTAACAGGGTTTTAATTAAACAATCCATGACAAGACATTCATATTCACAACTTAATCTAATTAACCAAACTAATAGCTAAGTCGTCTTTGGAACAAAACTTAAACAACATTTAATATTTACAAAAAATGTTACTGGTAACTGAATTCCACACTAGACTACTTTCTTAATGTCACCGTTTATTCAACCAATCTTGCTTTATCATATCCGAACCTTTTTCACCTATCATTATAACAGCAGCATTTGTATTCCCACTTACAATAGTGGGCATTATACTTGCATCTATTACTCTAAGTCCTTCAACACCGTGAACCCTCAATCTCGGATCGACAACTGACTCTTTGTCCCAAGACGGGCCCATTTTCGCTGTCCCACACTGATGATATATCGTCATCGAAATTGTCCTTACTTGACATTCTATATACTCATCAGACATAAATTGGAACTGCTTGCAATTTGGCAATGGCTTGTTGTAAAGTCTTGATCCAAATTGTCGAAACGGTGACGCGTTTGCGACTTTTACAGCGATTTTTATCCCTTCGACAAGTCTCGCAACATCTAGTGCGTTTTCGTGATATCGAGGATTCATTATTGGATAATGAAAGGGATTCGAACTCCTTAATCTAACGTAGCCTCGTGTATTTGGACGGAGCAGTAAGGGCATGATCGTCCAGGCATCTTTGTTCGCAATAGGTTTGTATACTGTATCATATAATTCATCGGTAAGTCCGAGAATTTTTCTCACGATTTGACCGTTGTCAGACGAAAATGAAGCTGGTGCCATATGAAATTGTATATCTGGCCAAAGCCCGGAACTATTTGCGTATTTGGTGTTAACAAAAGCAACACCTTCCAAACCGCCCAAAGTAGTCATTGGACCTCTTTCATTGACAACATAATTCATCGAAATAGGAAATGCTTGGAATCGATTCTGAACTATAGCTACAGGCTTATCGACTAGAAATGTAAGACCACCGACTCCAACGTGATCTTGTAAATTCTCACCCACTGGTAAATCTTTGATCACCTTAATACCCACATCTCTCAAGTGATCTTTCGGTCCTATTCCTGATAACATGAGTAGTTGGGGACTATTTATAGCACCCGCAGATAAGATCACCTCCTTTCTCGCATATACAACTTTTTTTACACCGTGCTTAACAAATTCCACACCGTACGCTTTCATGGTCACTGGATTTATGAGAACTCTTGTTGCTTGCGAATTCAATGATACGTCTAAATTTTTTCGTGTTCGCACAGGTCTTAAGAAGGCCTTTGCTGTGCTACACCTCGAACCGCGTCTGATTGTTCCTTGGGCTATCATAAATCCAGTTTGAATAGCTCCATTAACGTCCCTGTTCTCGTATCCTATTTCGACTCCGGCTTCAACGAAAGCTGCGACCAAGGGCGTTCTCCATGGCGCTTCTTGGACCGTTAGATATCCTCCCGTTCCATGATATTTGGTCTTAGCTAAATAAGGGTTCCTGTTGTCTTCAGACTTGATGAAGTATTTGAGAACATCTTGATAGCCCCAACCGGGATTTCCAAAAGACTCCCACTGATCGAAATCGTGACTGTTACCACGAATATAGATCATGTAGTTGAGAACACTTGATCCCCCAAGAACCTGAAATTTAAGGCAATATTTTATAAATTACATTACTGTCATTCTATTTCGCGTGCATTGCTACAAGAACGTTAAAATGTATGTAAATATTATGTAATATGTATTGTAACATTTTAAGGGAGCTTTAATGGTAGGGACTGTGAGAGTTACTGGAAGCGCCAATATAATTTTAGAGTGTGTTACAAAAGAATACTTTGCTCGTATTTTTCGAAAAGGAGCTAACTTATAAACATCTAAATCTTTGTGGATATAGTACATACATTTTATAATGTGTCATTTAATTTTAGACTTTATTCATAGGCATTGAAGAAAAGCAATTTTTGTAGTCGGAACTATATCTGCGATATATACGCGAAAAAATAGAGCTGTTTATCGCACACTGTCGTGGGATAGTTTCATGCAATACAGTTAAGATTTCGATCCCATATGAACATGAATGTGAACATTCACAGTTTTGGCTGTAGACAGCACTAAAACAGTAATAAAANTAATTTTAGACTTTATTCATAGGCATTGAAGAAAAGCAATTTTTGTAGTCGGAACTATATCTGCGATATATACGCGAAAAAATAGAGCTGTTTATCGCACACTGTCGTGGGATAGTTTCATGCAATACAGTTAAGATTTCGATCCCATATGAACATGAATGTGAACATTCACAGTTTTGGCTGTAGACAGCACTAAAACAGTAATAAAAATATCTGTAGAAATGCTGCAGCCTACCTTGCCCCTAGGCCAACTGCACCTATGTTTCTTGAAGCCCAGACAAGCGTATGGCGTCGGCTCGGTCTTGTACTGCCAGTCCAGCTTCGTTAGCTGCAGATACCCTGCTAGCGAAGGGACGTCCGTTATTTCGTTTTCATCGGGACCTGGAATTGTAACATTACCTCCTTAAGTTCATCATCATCATCATCAACAGCCCACAGTCGTCCACTGCTGGACATAGGCCTCTCCCAATCCACACTACTGAGCCCGGTCTGCGGCTCTCCTCATCCACTTCTTGCCAGCCACCGTTCGGAGGTCATCGCACCACCTAGCCCGGGGACCTCCACGTTACGTCTTCCGCTGCGCGGTCCCCACTCGAGAACCCGTCTCCTCCAGCGATCCTCAGTCCTACGGTATATATGGTCAGCCCACTGCCACTTCAGCTTGCTTACTCTTTCCTTAAGTTAATTTGTATCAATACGATTGATAATGAATGCACATGTGGCTCAATCGTTATATTGCAAAAGAAAGGAAAACGTTACTTTAAAATTCATGTAAATCAGATGAAATAAAAACAATAATTTTTGTGACTCAACTTAATATCATGGTCAGCAGCAATCATAAAATTGAGTTTCAATCGTATGACTTAATTTACCCAATCACTATCACTCAATTGGGCCATAAAGACCAAATAAAGGTTTCCTCGGGGTCTGTATAAAAATTTTCTAATTTTTATATAGCGTGTTAAGAAAGATTATTTTCTTTAATTTCTATTTTGCCGCGTTTCAAATGTCGGAAAAAGATTTCAATGGTAATTTAGAATGTTAAGAAAGCAGCAGTGACAGAGGAAATAAAACGAACCAGACCATGGGTCGTGCACCCGTGGGTGCATTAAAAAATCATAAGGTTCATAATTCTGTATAAATACATGCATATTAACAATTTCAATGAACACTAAATAAATAATAAATAAAAACTTACAAACCACAAAATATGTTTCGTTTTCATTTTCATTTCATTATATCATTTTAGCATTGACATTTCAATATGTGTAAGAGGGAAGTGAGCGGAGAAATGGTATATGATAGAGGAGTATGGAAGGAGAAAACATATTGCGCCGACCCCAGGTGACTGGGAGAGGGGCAGGATAATGATGATGAGTAGCGACATTTCAAATCTTCTTTTTTTTTTATTGCTTAGATGGGTGGACGAGCTCACAGCCCACCTGGTGTTAAGTGGTTACTGGAGCCCATAGACATCTACAACGTAAATGCGCCACCCACCTTGAGATATAAGTTCTAAGGTCTCGAGTATAGTTACAACGGCTGCCCCACCCTTCAAGCCGAAACGCATTACTGCTTCACGGCAGAAATAAGCAGGGTTATGGTACCTACCCATGCGGACTCACAAGAGGTCCTACTACCAGTAATTACGCAAATTATAAAAAAAACTTACCACTTTCTAACAAGAGAACGTTCCAATTATAGACTTCGGTCAGTCGGTTTGCTACAACGGCCCCTGCCGAGCCGCCCCCGACCACTATGAAGTCATACTCTCGCCTCGGTTCCTTATCCAGTACCTTGGATTCCGGATCATACGAGTTATAGTTGTGATAAGTCAGCGCCCCAAGCAACAGAGGTATTAACCATAATCCGGTCACACTGACAGTTTTCAAGGCCGTGGACGCTAGAAGGACGTGCACACCCATTTTCTTTTTAATCACAGTTTTTCTTTTGTTGCCAGTATCTCATTACTTTCTTGTTCAGTTTTGCTTTTTCAAATGTCGAAGGTGTTTGTATTGGTCGAGTCTGGTGGTTTACTTTTTTTCATTTGATGGAATTTTGTGGTTATATGCCGCAGCATGTTACGCGACATCGCTTTCTTGTTTGTATATAAAATGCTGTTGCTGCATCTGAAAACGAAAAAAAAAAACCAATTTTACTATTGTAATAGGAGATTCGGAAACACTGCGAAGTGAAGACGAATAATGTTCATAAAATTGTGTGTATTTGCCGGCCGGCCCGAATATTAAATTATTATTATATTGCTGAATGATATGACAGCACAAATTATTTGGTTCACTCCTTTATTTCAATACTTCAATTAAATTGATAACTATTTTTGCTACCATCGGCCGGTCTACATAATAACGAAACATAAATATAAAAAAAATTAAAAGTCAATTAGAATAAGTAGTTAACTGAAATTGACGAGTGTACTCGTCATACTGTCGTTCGTCATTTTTTACTGGTGGTAGGACCTCTTGTGAGTCCGCACGGGTAGGTACCATCACTACCCCGCCTATTTCTGCCGTGAAGCAGTAATGCGTTTCGGTTTGAACGGTGGGGCAGCCGTTGTAACTATACTGAGACCTTAAAACTCATATCTCAAGGTGGGTGGCGGACTTTACGTTGTAGATGTCTATAGGCTCCGGTAAACATTTGACACCAGGTGTGCCGTGGGCTCCTCCACGCACCTAAGCAATAAGCCATAAAAAAAATCATAGTGCAAAGGCAAGTTTAGTTTAGTAGACAAAAATTTAGTAAAAATTTGTGATGTTTCTTTATTTAAAATATAATTTGTATTCATTGAAATACGAAATATATTCAAAAATTTTGAGAGCAGACCGAAATGAAACAAAGTAATATTATATTCAAGATTCCGGCTGAAACCGATTTTTCGTGACACGGTTACGTGACACTTTCAAAACGGAGCGACACAGTTAATTAGATTTTATTAGAACAACAGAAAATCCGAAGATATACGGTGACATAGTTACTTGTTTACATAGAGGAGAGTGTCATATATGAGACGTATCTAAAACTCTCTCGGCTTAGGTCTGTTATTGTTCTACCCACAGGCTCTACCAGTCTGATACCATCTAAGTATAAGTGGCGTATAAATAATATAAAGAACGAAAGAAAAAAAATCAAACGACCTGACAAATATGTCTATTATGTAATCTGTTAACGAATAGACTTCCACGGTGAAGGAATAACATCGTGTAATAAAAATCAAACCCGCAAAATTATAATTTGCGTAATTACTGGTGGTAGGACCTCTCGTGAGTCCGCGCGGGTAGGTACCACCACCCTGCCTATTTCTGCCGTGAAGCAGTAATGCGACCTTACTGAGACCTTAGAAATTATAACTCAAGGTGGGTGGCGCATTTACGTTGTAGATGTCTATGGACTCCAGTAACCACTTAACACCAGATGGGCCGTGAGCTCGTTCACCCACCTAAGCAATAAGCAATAAAAAAAGAATTGTCGAACTACTATTTTACATTCCAAAATCAATTTAATTTATTTTGTTTCAGGTATAAATAACAGCATTCAATGAGATTATCTGATCGGAGTGGTTTGTGGCCGCGGTTAGCCATATCAACTTTGGAAAACAATATAAATTTGCTAGGCCACTTCGTGTTTCAAGTAAGTTCATGTTTTACGTTAATTCGCAATCTAAAATGAACGTAGTCAGTTGAGAAGTACTTTCTCTAACATCAGACAATAGACCTTGACTATCACATCAATGGGTTTTTTGTTATTTGTATGCAGTGTTGGAAACATACGGATTTACGAACTCAGTTTCTCTGTTGTAAGTGGGTGACATGACATATTGGAAGTCTGCGCCGGTAGGTGCTACAAACCTACCTATCTCTGCCACAAAGCAGCGTTTCGGTTTGAATGTTCGGAGACTCGGATCGGCCGTACAATTGAGACTCCGACCTTATAATTTCACTAAACAGCAATTGGTTGGGAGCTCATTCACTGGCCGAAGTGATAAAAAACAACACTGTCCTTTTTTCGGGTACAGCAGAAATATTTAACTATAGTAATTCAACACAGGACATGCTCAATTCTCTATCATGAAACAGTACAATTTTTTTATAAAAAAGAAAAGCGCCATGACCTAAGTGCAGAATGTCATCGAATACTATGAAGTCATTTAAATATGATTCATTAAACATTACTGGTTCGTTCTTGATAAAAAATTTGTTGGGAACACGAGAGAAGCATTAGCTTTCAAATAAATAGATAAATCATCAAAATCGCTTTGTACCTGAAATATTGTATAGTCGAATTGAGAACTACCTCCTTTTTCTGAAGTAGATTTAAAAGTGTGTGGTTGAGAAATATGAACACTTGGAAATATGTTATCATAATGTTTATATATTGAATACTTTTACTTCGCCATCACTTCCTACAAAAGCGGAAGGCTCTAGTGTTCTGTAACTACCCAATCTGAAAGCGATCTCGTGAAAGTATTATAAGATTCTAATCGCTATGTTTTCAATAGTGTGTTGCTTTTGTTATTATCGATCAGTCCTTATTCAGCTGAGCTGGTCCACTTGGTGTTTGCACTGTTACCAGTGCCCATTGAAATTATCGAATTCGTGGTTGTTCCCATCATAAATAAATTAGGGCGGTATTTGATACCCGTGTAGCTCAGAACACGCCCAACGAGAAATGAAATAAAGTTTTATGGCAACTAGCCTTCTAAATTTGTGCACAAAAGACATGTTATATTATTTCAAAATCGGAATCCAGTGTTAGGCTTAGAAAAATAGTGTAGAGATTTGTTTGCTTGGAGAACTTATTAAATATGAAAATCGTGGTAAAAACCAGTTAAATAAAAATGTTTATAAGACGAGACACGATTTTGAGAGACAAATATTGAAACCTCGGTTAACTTGTTTGGACGATTTAATTTCGCAAACATCTGTGCATTCAAATATTTACACAGGAATAATCGTGAATAATATCGATAACAGGATTTCGATGGTAGTACACAACAATGATCTAATTTAAGGGTTTTTTCCCCCTACCTATTCACTGGTAGCCTAAGGGGCTATTCCAGCTACGCCCGGACGATTAGATGAGCTCACGGGCTCAACCTGAGAGAATTTGCTAACACTAGCCCTAAGTCTACCACCGGATTGGAATTGCGACCCACTGAAAAGATTCGGCGAGAAACTCAGTGAGCTGTGTCTATGGGAACTTTAATTGTATTATTACATACATATCAGAAGCATCATTAAAAAAATTCGATTCACAAAATCTTATACAATATAATATTGTGACGAAATATTTGAAACATGTTAATTTTTTTTTTTAATTATGGCAATACAACACACGTGGAAGACTTCTATATACTTCCTTGCTTGCTCTAATCGTTTCAAATAAACAAATGTTATGTAACGCGAAACGGGTCTGTGTGTAGTAATCTGTGCTATTAGGTGAAGGCCGTTTCTCGAACTTTCGATTGTGATGTCATGTCACCGCGAGTTAGTCAGTCGGGCTCGTTTGTCTTGTGTCACGGCACGTAGCGTATTTCCCGTTTGCAAACTACATGTGGACTGTGAAGTTGGACAAGCAAACGACTATAGATGTTATTCGACGCCATTTTCAAAAATATATGACAACTAGCGGCCCGCTCCGGCTCCGCTCGGGTCTTTAACAAAAATTTCAACGATATTTGACGTTGTTTTATTTTTTTAAATAAAAGAACACTTATTGCGACGTAACTATAATAGTTAGAAATATGCTGTCTCAAAACTTTTTGTAAATAATAGGGTGTTCTACAAAGTCGTAGTACATTATTTTATTCTATCAACAATAATTTTCGCAGGGCACGCGATGTAAAGAATATTTTAGGTAATTTTTTTACACCTTGGGTTACATTATTGGAGTTTTAGTGAGGATCCCTATTTTTTTTTAAAAAAGATTATGGCCTATATCACTCGAGAATAGTGTAGCTTCCAAAGAGTGAAAGCATTTTTCAAATCGGTTTAGTAGTTTGGGAGCCTATTCAATACAAACAAACAAACAAATCTTTCCTCTTTATAATATTATTATAGTATAGATATAGATAATAGCGTTACATAACTATCGGATGTGATTAACAGAGATTTTTTATCGTATATCTAGAATTCCAGATTCGAATATCGAAAATGGAACTTGTGTGATTTCATATCCGTCTGTCTCTTTCTCATCTTCAATTTATTATGAGACAAACGTACGTTGAAAAAAAAAGTTCCTACACAGAATCGAATTCTTGAGAATGTTTTCAAAATTCCACTTAAATATTTTTATTACTTAAGACATTATCGAACTCAAAAGAAGTTTGTAATTAGTCGTATTCTATTACGAATGTGGTCGATTCAATCGCGTCAAAGATAAAACGATGTTGAAATCGCGGGAAAAAGTATTTTAATTCCCATTCGATTTCTAGAACTTTCCGCATTGTTTAAGACGAATGTAAAGCATCTGCATGCTTTGAAGCATTGCGATTTTTGTTGTTATGAAATATATACTACATATGAGTCGACTATTATCAAAGCCGGCAATGTGACTTTTGGACAATTATTGATAAATCAGAAAAACGAATTATTGACTTTGTATTCCATTGGCAGTCACAAAACTCTTCTGAACGACATCTTAGATAAATAACAGGTTAAGTATTAACCTTTATTTAATGCAGGTTTTGAACCGAATTCTTTGAAGGAGACGATTATATTCAAATAAATCTGTATTGACATATCAATAACATTTTTTTGTCCAAATGCACAGATTGCCACCTTTGATAATAGACGACTCATATTCTTTAATTGTAAATTTGATTAGAAATGTGTGTAAAAGTAATTTTATTTGCTCTATTTTATTCGCGCGTTAACGGACTTCCTCTATGATGAAGGATTAACATAGTCAAAGTCGAACAATTTATTGTCATAATTAACGTAATAACTATATGAGTTAATAGTGTGTATACTTCGTTACGTTAAACAATGGAAACGTTTCAGTTCGGACGGTTAGAGAACCATCGTGTACAATAAAATTAAGACTCTGACATCTTAGTCTCAAGGTCTTATATCCTGTAACGATTTAACACCAGGTGACGTTCGTCTGCTAT